TTTAAAGGCTTCATCTGGTCCTGGTGTTCCTTCCGCTGAAGCTGGATTCCTCTCTGTTCGCCCTGGTGCCTGGTTCCCTTGTCCACTACCTCATCTAACAGCGCTGCAACGGTCCAATCGGGTTGTGTGATATGGACGCTAAGTAAGGGGTGGTTGGACAATTAAAATTTGAGTGCACTCAAGGGTAACTATATTTTGACAGATTTTCTTTTTGTTTTTTTTTTTGGTTCATGAGATCTCAAAAGAATGTGTGGCCGATTTGTACACCAAATGTCATATTTTTATGTTCTGAACTAAATATTGAATTTTGGATAAGGAAACATTTGAATAAGACCCACATTACTTAACTCTTTAATCTGCTGTCCTGTGCTTCATTCGGAGTGGAATGGTCTTCTGACCTTATGATTAGTACAACACCAACCTCTTCATCGTACCTAGATTTTTGATAACGCCTACCATAGATTATTAGCCTGCCTACAAGCAGAATTACCACCGTAGGGTTACATAAACAAGAGTGGAATGAGACTTTCTGGTGTGTAAACTATTGCTTTAAAGACCTTATGACGGGTTTGATTTATTTAGAAATACAGTTTTAATACCATTTTATATTAGAAGAGAACTACTAAAGGTTTCAAAATCAGTTGTTGTTTTTTTTGTCTGATCCCCCCAAATCGAAATAACCCCATAGCAACGCCCTTAGAAACGAAAAAACTTCACAGCCCTTGGTGACGTCAGAACGGGTACGTTTCAACGCTGTAAGTTGTTTACAATTTGGTATTCGTTCTTTTTTCGCTGATATTCAAGATGACAAGGCCGTGTACAGCGAGTCTAAGATAACTATTAGAATGTATCATTTCACTGTCACTGAGATAGTCCAGTGGTTGTGTCGATGTACTGCCAATCCAGATACTTGGGTTCAAATCCCACCTCGGACATTTTTTCACACTCAAAACGGCAATTTATGTGTAATGAGCAATTGTCACCTGTAGAGGGCAGTATTGTGTTGGGCATCAGTGGAGAGAAGAGAGAAAAGGCAGTCCTGTGGCATAGATCCATGGTTTTCAATGCATGGGCGTAACCCGCTATGACGTCACACACAGGTTAGAGCATAGACAACTTAAATTCATGAAAAACACGTTCTTTTTATAAAATATAGGATTTTTTTTGCCGGAATCTCTTTCAAATTGACATTGTCATGCAATTTTGATATCCACTATTTTTTTTTAAAAAACCCGTCATAAGGTCTTTAAGCAATGACAACTGTCTGTTTGTTATTGTGTGTGACAAGTGAGCTGTCAATCACAGCCCAGAGCACGCCCAGCTATGAGCCCCCCTTCTTGTCCCCTGGGCCCTTTTTAGAAAACATGTGGACGGACGCTGGGCACAGGTGTTTAGCCCCTCTTTAAATGAATCGGCTTCTTCTGCATTCCTCAAACACTATGGTGTTCAGTTCAGTCCAGTCCTTAGGCACATAGCATATTTTCCCAAGTCATTTTGTATCGTCAAAATGGCAATAAGAGGAAAAACAAAACTTTTTACATCCATAAACAGTGGAAAATGAGTTAGGCAATGTAGCTCACGATGTTTCCTATGACAGTTACAGAAGTCACTAACCATAGTTATTAGATTATGTTACATGACATTTGTGTTTCTGATAGAGTGTGCACAAATGTATGTTGTGTCTGCTTTCAGCCACATCCTACGATTGTGGCTCCAGTGGTGAAGCAGGGGAACACGCTCATGTGTGTTACTTGTTTTGAGCTGGACGACTGGGTTGACGTCGTCATGCATGTGCTGTTACCAGAAGTATTGCATGATTTATATATATTTTTTTTACATTCACTACTGGCAAAGGGACTATTGTAATCAAAGTGCGCACAAAACAAACACAGATCCCCCCTCGTGCATGTTTCCTGGACATACACTGTACTGAATAAACGACTGCATCGACACATTGTTGATGTACAGAGACCATACAAGTCATATGTGCGTCAGAGACACTATCAAACAGGACACAACATCATTTAAGGCTGCATTTGGTTCTGTGACTTTTTGTTGTTGAATTTAACAAATATCAATCTTATCTACCTGACAGCTCACACCCTGGCAGAGAAATTTCACCTGACATACAAGAGGCCCTTGGCAAATTCAGAAAGTATGAACAATGGTAAGATTATTTTAAATATTGATGGACATATTTCAATGTGCACTGCAACATCTAATCTGTGATTGCTCTTTTTGGACAGTGAATTTATAATTATTGCAGTGAAACACTTACCAGAGGAGGCACCAGTGAAGCTCAAAGCCTATGAAGAGATCCTGGATGACCTCTGCTGTACCCTCTGAAGTTAGCCCAGTAATTGAGCAGTAGTTGCCATTTACACCTGCAAGGCTGCCACTGGAGTTGACCTCATTGCACCACTACATACAGTATCCTTAAGGCTTGGCTCTGAACAACATTTAACTTCTTAAGATTACTGAGAATTAAACACCACACATCCATAATCCATAATAAGTGCAACATAGACCTTCTTAAGGCAGGCCCGGCTTGCTCCCCGAACTCTCAAACATTAAAACTTTTTTACTTTTCTCTACAATCTTTTGAGTATGCCCCTTCCATGTCACTCTACTGTCAAACCATAATCCTAAATACTTAAACTCATTCACTACCTCCAATCTCTCCCCATATAAATTAATATTAACAACAGCCTTTTTCTTTCTCGTAAAACTCATTACTATTGTTTTTGCTACGAAAAACCTAAATCCCCACTTTACAGACCACGACTCAACTTTCTGTATCGCTTCTTGAATCGTCTCCACAATATAATTTACATTCCTTCCTCGCTTCCATATTACTCCATCATTCGCGAGCAGTGACACTCCAACAGACCCTTCAACATCTCATTTATCATTATGGAAAAGAACACTGGACTCACAATACTCCCTTGCGGCGTCCCATTGTCTACCTCATACCTACAGCTTAGCTCAGAACCTACTCGCACCAAAATCTTTCTCCCTGTTAGAAACTGTTTGACTCATCCAAGCATTTCCCCTTCCGAGCCACCCGCTCCTCTCTGACAGCAGCTTGTGTATGGGTGTAGTGTGTTTTTTCCGCCAGCAGAGGGCGCCCTGGTTTACTTTACAGCTGTGATGCCTCAAATCAGCTGTCACATTTTTGCAAAATGTGACAGCTCCTCCAAAAAATGCAAAAATGTGACGCCACATTTATTTGAAAGCCAAGCAGGACAGGGCCTGGTTATCACTTTGATGGGAGCCTGGTTATTACTTAGGCCTCAGCCACATGCAAACGTGTTTTCTTTGTAAAAGCTGAGGAACTGTTAGTAGTATGCTATAAAAGTATTATAAAATAATATGCATTTGCAAAAAATATATGCAAAATAATATGTTGTTGATTTAGTAAAAGTAGGGCAACTTTGATTGTATTGATTTCAACGCCTTTAGCACTAATCTTTGGATTTGTAACCTCAGTGACCCCTGACCTCCAGACACGGGTAAATCCTATCATGAGAAAGGGTATTTAAGTGTGCCAAGTCTAATGTGTGTCTCCTCTTTGCATCTTCTCTGAAGAGTGGCAACTACAGTCTATGGTGGCAACATGGGAGCCTCAAAACAACTCTCAAATGACCTAAAAACAAAGTATTCACAAACCTTATTTGGTTAAAATTATTCTTGCAAACTTTCTGTGAATGATACAAACTTTATTTCACTTCTCAAATCTGACTGTGTTTGACTCTTATATGATATATTGGGTGACACAGTGGCTGAGTGGTTAGCACTCTCGCTTCTCAGCATGGGTCGGAACAGGGCGTTTCTGAGTGGAGTTTGCATGTTCTCCCAGTGTCTGCGTAGGTTTCCTCCGGCTACTCCGGTTTCCCCTTCCACTAACATGTACAATAGGTAGTCTGCGGTAGTCCTGACCAAGCCGAGCATCAACATCTGGAGATGGATCCCGGGCGCTGTTACTACGGCGACCACTGCTCCTGACGGAAGCCTTAGTGGCATCAGGATGGGTCAAATGCAGAGGATGAATTGCTCTACGGGGATAGAGTGCACCTTTATATTCAACTGAAATGTCTTTCCAAACAACCAATAATATATAAAAGAAAATCATACAAATTGATAGAATGGCCAGAATCTTACAAGACCTTGATATAGTTCAGACTGCTTTAAACTGACCATCATGTCATGAGTCATTAAATAAATGTCTTACTTTTTTTCACAAAAATGAACACTAAAAAACTATACTGATTAAACATTTATTTTTGATTCAGGTCTTTAATGTTTTTATATAAATTTAGGATTTTGCATAAAAATGGATTAAAGGAATAAAAATGACAAAACAGGAAAACATGAATCATAAAAATAGGTCAAAACTCTAACCCAATGAATAGGCTGCAACCCCATGGACATATTTTTCTTTTTTTTTCTATACATACACTGTAGCATTCTCTATTACAAATACTTGGTGTATAAAAGATCATATTAACCTCTTATAAAATATCAAATATATTTATGGTATTCACAAAGATAACAACACAAATGATCATGTCCCTGTGGCTCTGGTTCTGAAATGGTTCTATTCTGTTTTTCTCATACCTGGGCTGTTATAGCTTGGTTTGATCAGGGATGGGAAAGTTGGCACAAACCCAAATGGCTTCATACTTCTCGGATTAGGAAGACTGCGGCAAAATTATAAAGCTAAAATCACACCAGAGCCATGTCACTTCTGATGCAGCCAAAACAGAGAAAACTGTTCGTCCAATAAGCAATACAGAGATAGCAAACGTGAAATAAAGTTCTACATTCTTTTGCCAGAGTTGATGTAGCTTTGGTCAAAAGACTTAGGATAGCTTTCCCCTGCATGACACCAAGCTGCCAAACACCAATATTTACAATACTTAATGGAATCAAAACATTAACTTCACAACAATAATGACAAAATTATTCATACAAAGTTTGCACGCAGCCATGAAAACAATTTATGAAATGGGACATCCTCTTTCTTCAGGTATCATCTTATTCTTGATGTCATTCATCTCCTGTTCATGTTTCATTTTCTCCACTACTCTCTCAGTGCCCCCAGATTTCTTCTTCAACTCTTCTATCTCTTGCTTCTGTTTCTCCTCTAACTCTTGGATTCGTTGATTCAGCTCTTCCTCATGTTTCTTCATGACATTCTCTGTGAATTCATTCATTTCTTCCATTTGCTTTTGCTCAAGTTTCTTAATTTTACTTTCCATCTTCCTTTCTTTCCGGCTCCGTAAGTCAGACCTCAGTTGTGTCAGTTGTTCTTTGTGTTGAGCAGACAGATCTTTCTTTCTTTTCTTTAGTTCATCTTTATTAGTTTCCTGTTCCAGAGTTTTCATCTCTCGTCTCTGTTTTGCCTCCAACTCCTCCCTTTCGTCTTTTTCTTTTTGTTCAAACTTTTTCTTTATTTCTTCATTACATTTTCTTCGTTCTTCTTTATGTCTTTTCTGGATATTAATTCTTTTTTTGTGGTTTTCTTTATTTTTCATTAAAACCACGATGGCCAAATCAATCATCTGATTCTTGTGCTTCTTGAGCTGATTCTCCATTTCACCTTTCAGAGTTGTCTCTTTGTGAGAAGCCAGATTTTCTAATGCTTCATATTCTTTCTGCCGCTCTTGAATCTCCCTTTTAAGGTCATTAACTTCTTGCAAGTGTTTGTCGATCAGAGCTGCAAAGTCCATGTCCTTCTTACGTTTGAAGTCGTTGAACTCTTCCGCCTTCTTGCGAGCTTCTTCCTCAAACGTCGTTCTCAGTTCCTCGACTTGTTTCTCATGTCTTTCCTCCAACCTCTTCCTCTTCTTCTCCTCTTGCTCCAGTCTGTCTTGATCTTCTGCTTCTTTCTTTATTCTGTCCTTTTCCATTTTATCTTTGTATTCTTGCTCCAGTTTCTCAAGTCTCTCATGCTCCTGCTCTCGTCTCTGTTCGTCCTTCTTGTGTCGTTTGTTCCACCACTGTCCTCTCTCCTCTTCCCAGGCTTCTCGATCTTTTTCCATTTTTTCTTTGTTCTCTTGCAGTTTACTATCAAAGTTCTGTTTTGATTCCATCTCTAACTCTTGAAGCTTTCGCTCATACTCCTCTCTTGTAGCTTTATCTTTCTCTTTCCTCTGTCTGTCTTCTTCCTCTCTCTTGTTCTGTTCATCTGTTCTTAGAGAACGCTCTCTGTTTATATTATCCTGCAGTTGTTTAAGTTCTTTGTCCCTCTCTCTACTTTCTCTCTCACTTTCTTTCCTCTGTTCCTCCATTTCCTGTTGGAGTTCTTTCATTTCCTGTTTATATTTCTCTTCCATTTGTTGCATCTCTTTTCTAAACTCTTCTTCTTGTTCCTTTAACAATCTCTGTGTCTCTTTCTGAATGGCGGCCTCAGCTTCCTGGAGCATCTCACTTGTGTAGAAGCCCCCACCGTTCACTTTCACCACATCTTCAATCATCTTGATCAGGTCTCTGACTTGGTAAGTTTTTCTCTCTGTAGGTTTCTTATTATTAAAGACATGACACCTGTTTCCACAATCAGAGATCAGCTTCTTACATGAATCATCACATTTTGTTTCAATGAAATTTTCAAGAGAGAGATTTTCTTCTTCTAAATCATCTCCACGCGTGAACAGAACTATGGTGAACTTTGCTGCATCTTTGCCAAATCCTTTCTTGATCAATTCAAGTGTTTCTTTCTCTTCTGGAGTAAATCTTCCAATTTGAAGAACCAGCAGAAAGATGTGTGGTCCTGGTGCCAGGAGGCTGATGCATTTGAGCATCTCCTCATTGACCTCATGATTAGACAAAGTGCTGTCGAACAGGCCAGGAGTGTCCACCACAGTCACACGACGACCGTCCACTTCACCATGTGCCTTCTCACAACGTTTGGTCACAGATGTTTGGCTTAAGTCTGATTTAAACTCTTGTCGTCTCAGAATGGTGTTTCCACAGCTGCTCTTCCCACTACCTGTCTTTCCTATCAACACGATCCTCAGACTCTCTGCATGCTGCGCTCCCCCTGCAAATAAAACAAGATAAATCATACTATGTTATTTTTTTATCTAAGACGCCTGTCGCGAATTGCCCACAGCCCTCTTTTGGACATGGTAATCTATTGCACATTGCATTAATTCCCTTGCGCTCAGATGTCTCCCCCTTCCCTTGTGTGTCTCTATGACTCTGTGGTGGCATCAGCCATTTTGTACGGTGTTGTCTGCTGGAGCAGCAGCAGCTGGACAAGGTCATCAGGAAGTCCAGCTCAGTCCTGGGCTGTTCCCTGGACACAGTGCAGCAGGTGGGGGACAGGAGGGTCCTGGACAAACTAACATCTATGCTGGACCATGACTGTCGCCCCCTGCAGGACACTCTCTCTGCTCTGAAGAGGAGCTCCAGTGACAGACTTATTCACCTTCGATGTGTGAAGGAGAGGTTCCGCAGGTCTTTCCTTCCTGCTGCTGTCAAACTGTACAACAAACAATAAGGACTAATGAACTCTGCCAACTTGATTCCAGTGTCAGTCTTGCATCGTTGCAATATCCTTATCTTATATCAGAATGTGCAATATACAACTGCCAATATACAGTTGTAACATACTGCTGCTAATGTACAGATGCAAACATATACAGTAACTACACTTTACTTGCACTAGATTACACAGTACTTTATACTTGCCTCTTATTTTGTCAATTTTGAATTTTTACATCTATTATATTTTCAAGATAGAGATTTTATACTTATTATTGATGCTAGAGTTAAATTGTTTTTATTTTGATTAGTAAAGCTATTTTTCACTTAACGTGTGCTGTGTGCTCCTCTTTCCTACTGTTCTATAACCTGTGATGCAACACCGAAATTTCCCCACTGTGGAACAAATACAGGATCTCTTAATCTTAATCTGAGTCTCCTCCCCCATCTGTAGGTGGGACGGGGGAGCAGCTGGTGGCTGCTGCAAGGGGAGCCCACCTGTTTCAGGCTAATCCGGAAACCTATTATCAGCCACTGCCAGTTCGTCCATTGACTGTCGTAAAAGCCTAACCAGAGATTCTGAGTACACTTTTTTTCGACTTCTTTTAATGTTTGTTTGTTTGTGTGTTTTTTGTTGATTAAATTAACTTGTAATTTTTGGATCAGCGTTTAGATTCATTTCAAATCATAACACAATAATTCGCCAACATGTTTCAATGTGCTGTTTTCATCAGGGCTTTCATCACAAGCCCTGGTGAAAACAGCACTTTGAAACGCATTGGCGAGAATTCTCTGCATCCAAGTGCCTCTGTCTTATTCTCTAAGTTATCTTATTCTAATCATCAGGAATATTTATGGATTCGGACCAGATTTATGTGTGCATCACATACATCACAACTATTCACTAGAGCATACTGTACAATGCAACTTGCCCACAAAAGGGTGAAAATAAATATATTAAAATGTCGAGGATGCCAAGCCAGCACGTAAATCATAGAATCTGCACAAAAGACGATCTGTATTATGCAGACCTCCTTTATCTTAAAGCTTTTAATAATTCTAACACTGGGTGAAGATTCTCAATCGAGTGAAGATGTTGTTTTAAAGAGGTGTAAAGGTGTGGGTTGCCACTTTCTGAATGTATTGTTGTTCACTAGTTAGACCTGATGACTTTTGAATCATGCTTTTAAATAAACAGTAGAATCAAAAGAGTCTCAAGAGAGTGATATAAAACATACCAGTGACTTGTCTTGTTTCTGTTGGAGGTGCGAGGCTCTGGAGATGTGTGATCTTCTCAATTTGCATCTGCACAAACATTTGTTTTGTGTAACTACTGCCCTGGGTTAAAGTTTGAACTTTATCTAAAAACCCTGGTACTTCTTGCTGGTCTTTAACATTGAAGATATAACGTCCACCACAGCGTTGACACAGCTCCTTCAGGTCTTTGTTTGTACTGACAAACTCAGTGAAAGCTGAAGCTGAAGAATCTGACTCCACAGTGAACAGAATGATGGTGAGATCATCTACACAGGAACCCAGAACATCCTGGAGGATCTTAAACTCAGCTTTGTCTTCATCTGTGAGAGAAGCTACAGGCAGAACCAGGACAAAGGCATGGACACCGTCAGGGTCACACAGACAAATGCTCTCCCAGAACTTCTCCCTCGTTGTTTGGTTCGGTTTACTGCAGAGAGACGCATCTTCACGACAGACAGCAACCTCCCATCCTGCACTCTCTGATGTTTGGTGCACTCAGACGATCTGCTCTCGAGAAATGTTCTCTCTCCGATCATGGCATCTGCAACAGAAGTCTTCCCTGCTCCTTCCCTCCCAAACAGAACTATATTTAGTTCTGTAGTACTTTGAGGTAGTCCTTGAGCGACAGAAAGAAATGATTCATTGTTCTGTTGGACCAGTGTCTCAATCTTTGTCATTAAATCAGTGTGGTTTTCTTTAGACATTGAATAGAATCTTCCTTCACAATCTTTGAGAAGGTTGTTGGTAGCAGCAGTCATCTGACCGTCATGTGTAAAGATAAGAATGGAATGTTTAAATGCATTTGGACCAAACATTGTGAAGATGAACTCAAGTGTTTCTCTTTCTTTGTCGCTAAAATCAGACGGCTTCACGAGCAGCAGGAGCACGTTTGGTCCTGGACGACACTCTGACACACACTTCTTCATTTCTTCTTTTACTTTTTCCATAGTCATTGTGAATAGGTCAGGGACTTTTACTATTCTGAGCTTGTGTCCTCTCCATTCACCACACTGTACTTTTTGGCTTCTGAAGTATGTCTTGACTCCAGAGATAAATGAACTCGGAGTGATAAATGAACTCAAAGCTTTCTTTTTGTCATCACTTTTTCCAAAAAGAAGGATACGAAGTTCAGAACCTGTGGGAGAAAAACAAATGAATCTAATCGCTGTTGTCACTGCAAAAAAAACAACAAAACTACAAAATGCCCTGTAATAAGTATTTTTCCTTTGCACTAGTCGGTAAAAAAGAGCATTTTAACTTCACTGCAGTTTTTTTGTTGTTGCTTCTTTTGGGCCATCAATTATGATTTTTTTTTTGTAAAACAAAAGTAATTGTGTCTTACTAGTTCGAACATAGCTTCCTTCTTGTTTGGTTGGGTCCTTTGCAGTTATTCCTGGGGGAAAGCAAAAACGTTTATAAATGCATCCTCATATACTGTACAATAACATTTTCTAATTCCGACACATACCAGCTTTCTGAACATTTTCCAGAATTTCACCTGGTTCTCCTTGTTCCCTGCTGTGAAGAGGAGCAGAAGGAGATTCGAATGCTTCATGGGTCAACTTCTCGCCTTTGTTATCGTTGACCATCTGATCCAGTCGTGCAAACAGCTCTGACCGTTTAAAGTTAATTAGTTCTTTTTCTTCTGGTGTAAAGTTCTTCAGCCACATGTACCGATATCTGCATTTTATGATCGTCGTTACCAAAGGATTGTTTGTGGACATCAAATGTGGATTTTCTTCGCTGTTTGTAGATACTAGCACCATTGAATGAGCAAAAGAGTTTTCATTGAACATATTTAACACTTGCTCGAGTCTCTCTTGTTGTTGTGCAGTGAATACATCAGGTTGAAGGACCAGCAGGAGCACGTGGAGCCCGGGCTCTGAGGCTTCTGCAAACTCTTCTATCATTTCTGTCAGCTGTGTCTGGTTCAAGTCAGGGTTTAGAAGGTCTGGGGTGTTGATGACGGTTACTTTTTTATCCCCAAATGGAGCACTGACTTTGGTTGAGTTTTGTAACATTGTCCTGTTTGTTTCCGTTTCAACTAAGATGCTCTCCACGAAGCATCTCTGTCTCCAGTGGTTTCCCAGAAGAACAACTCTCAGCTCAGACACTGAAATAAACACAAATAATATGATGTTTAACTAACACTAACCCTGTTTACAAATACAATGACCTGAAATAGTTTTGATACAACATGAACTTTTGAAATAATGCTTCACGCCCACAAATTTTCATCATTGTGTGTGCGTGTGTGTGAGAGAGAGTGTGAGCTCATTATATGAATGTACGTTTAGAG